GTCTTTGACAGACACCTTTTTTACATTTTGTTATCTCCCTCCTTCTCGGAAGGGGGCCGGACATCCTGGAAATTTACCCATTGTCTAAGAAGCCCCTACTGTCTGGAGAGTTCTTAATCATTAGCTGGAACAATGTCCCTCGAGCCCCACAGATTGCTAGCTATTTGGTTTCTGCAAGATGGAGAGCACGATCTACTGGCTGTTTTGTAACATGCTTTATTTTATTTAAAGAGATATGTAATATCTGCTTTTCCTTTATATTGTTTGGAAATAAGTAAATGACAAGTACATTCCTATAGAAAAAAAAGAATGCATTATATGTAGGGACCCGTGTGTCCATTTAGTCTCCACTTAAATATATATTTTCAAATCCTGGTAAAAGGAGAGAGGGCGCTGGGAAGCCCAGTGTATCCAGGAGAAAATAATGGTTTGGGATTAAGGTAGATCTAGTTTTAAAATTATTTTCTGGGCTTACCTGGTGGCACAGTGGTTGAGAGTCCACCTCCCGATACAGGGGACACGGGTTCGTGCCCCAGTCCGGGAAGATCCCACATGCCGCAGAGCGGCTGGGCCCGTGAGCCATGGCCACTGAGCCTGCGCGTCCGGAACCTGTGCTCCGCAAACGGGAGAGGCCACAACAGTGAGAGGCCCACATACTGCAAAAAAAAAAAAAATTATTTTCTGTCTTTTACTAATTCATGTAACCCTAATTCAAACACATATACATCTCTTACAGCTTACTGGCTCTGAACTCAAGTACCCTATCTGTAAAATGACAATGAAAGTACCTACTTTGCAGGGTGGCTAAGGTGATGAAATGAGAGAAATAAAGCTCAGGTGCAATTTCTAACAAATAATAGATAGCAGATTTTTGAAGTTGGTGTCACCTGTCCCATAAATATTTATGGTATATATCCTCCTACCTCTGTCTCCAAACTGCTAGGGATCTTGTTCACTATTCTTATTGTCCTGCCTTGATAACTTCAATTTTCTTTCCAGTTGCTCAAGGCTGTATGACCTCAACTGGTTTTCCTAACTAAACCGGCCCTTCCTCATCAGTGCTAGACTGTCTCTGCCCAGACTGTCCTGTCCAGACACTATAATACCTCTGTAACTACATTTAATATAGTTAACTCTTCTAAAATTCTTTCCTCCCTTGGCTTTTCACAATTATATACTCTTATGGTTATCTTCTGATCTCACTGGTTATTCCTCTTTCATCTTCCTATATGTATTCTCTAAGATTTGACCTTATCCCTCTGCTTTCCCTTTTAAAAAACATGTTCTCTTGGAGGGTCTAATAACTATTTCTGTGTCTGAAGAGCCCTACTACACTTACTATCCTTGAGCATTTCTGGAACTATACTCAACCCCTGTTCTACTTCATGTCTTCCTTAATTCTGTTAGTGATACATTACCAAACATTTCTGGTACCAACATATAGTTGGTCAGTTAGTTAACTAGCTGACTATTAGTTTTTCAATATATTAAGTGGTTTGGTAGACATATGTGCTGCTTACTATTTCCAGTTCTCTTTTTCACATGTGATAGTTATTCCCACATTCACACGTGATAGCACATGTGATAGTCATTCCCACCTTCTTGAAGTCATGGGACCTGCTTTGTTCAGTGAAATGTGAGTGTAGTGGTTATATCACTTCTTGGTGAAAGCATTTAAGAGCTGGTCCACAATTCTCCATGTTCTATCATCCCTTGCAATGGTAACTGTGGAAGCCTACTTTAACTCTGAAGTACTACAATATAAAAACAGCATGGGGCTTCCCTGGTGGCACAGTGGTTGAGAGTCCACCTGCCGATGCAGGGGACACGGGTTCGTGCCCCGGTCCGGGAGGATCCCACATGCCGTGGAGCGGCTGGGCCCTTGAGCCATGGCTGCTGGGCCTGCGCGTCTGGAGCCCCGCGTACCGCAAAAAAAAACAAAAAAACAAAAAAACAGCATGGAATGCTGAGCCAACACATGGAAGACAGCTGCCTAGAGAGTCCTGTAGTAGACTTCCTATGAGCAAGAAATAAACACTTGTTTTAAGCTGCTATAATTTGGTGGCTGTTTGACTACAGTACAACCTAGTTTGTTCTGAATGAAAAAAACAATCTTGCTGTCATCATCCTAATTAAGACTCTTGTTTCATCTCCCAGAGATTGTTGAATTTGCATCTTAAGTGTCACGTGGTTACTTTTTTTCTCCAGTTTTATTGAGGTAAAATTGACAAATAAAATTGTAATATATTTGAAGTTGTACAATCTTATGCTTTGATATATGTGAAAATGTATGTATACGTATATGTATACATTGTGAAATGATTTCTACAATCAAATTAATTAACACATCCACCACCTCACATAGTTACCTTTCCTTCTTTCTTCTTTTTTTTTGGTGAGAATTTGCTACTCTCTTAGCAAATTATACTGTATTCAATACAGTATAATTAACTATAGTCACCATGCTATAGGTTAGATCCTCAAAACTTATTCATCTTATAACCGAAAGTTTGTACCCTTTTATCAGCCTCTCCTCATTTCCCCACCCCTCAGCTCCTGAAACCACCATTCTACTCTCCATTTCTACGAATTTTACTTTTTAAAAACTCTACATGTAAGTGATTACATGCAGAATTTGTCTTTCTCTGTCTGGTTTATTTCACTTAGCATAATGCCCTACTGCCATACATAAATGTGCAACATAGATAGATAGATTTCACATGTTCCTTATCCATTCACCTGTTGATGGACACTTCGGTTGTTTTTTCCATTGTTGGCTCTTGTAAATAATGCTGTAATAAATTTGGGAGTACAGATGTCTCTTCAAGAGAGTGATTTCATTTCCTTTGGATATATAACCAGAAGTGAAATTGTCAGATCTGCTAACTGGGAAATAACGTCACAACATAACAGCTGTGAGTTGAGTTTTATTCAGGACTTACTGAAGACTGTAGCCCAGGAGACAGCCTCTCAGATAGCTCTGAGGAACTGCTCTGAAGAGGTTCATATATATATGAATTTTTTGGCTGGAAAATACATGTAGTCAAGCATACATCTTGGTAAAAGATTACTGCTAATCACATAAACATATATCTCCAGTTAAGGATTTTAGTGCTTGTCTATGTATAGGAAGATGCAAGAATCTCGGGTCGTTGAAATTCTTCCTTAGATACACTTCTTAACTATCTAGGGGCCCATAGATCCAAAACACAGACCACTTTATCCTGAATTCCTTTCAGCATGTATTTGTAAGTCAGTGAGTGTAGTGGCTAATGACTTGATCCTTGTAGAACTGGAATCGTGGGCAACACTCCATGTTTACAGATCATATGGTAGTTTTATTTTTAATTTCTTGAGAAACTTCTGTACTGTTTTCTATAATGGTTGTACTGATGTGTACATTCCCACCAACAGTGAACAAGGGTTTCCTTTTCTCCACATCCTCGCCAACACTTGTTATCTCTTGTATAAATGTTACTTGGTTTCTAATCTGATCCATTTTGTAAGCATTTAACAAATAACATTCTTAAAGTACAACCATAAAAATCACTCTATCTAAAGCAAACAAACAAATAAAACAAGACAGGTCCTCAATGCCTGTGATTTAACTACTTTAGTATTTGTTTGTTTTTACAAAGCAAATATTAAAAGATTATTGTAGAAAAGTAAAATACATAAATCAGCAAAAAGAACATGATCCATAACCCCATGACTGAAAATGATCACTGTTGATATTTGGGCATAAATATTCCCATATCTATATAATCTATATATTATATATATATTATATATATATATTTTGGCTGTGTTGGGTCTTGGTTGCTGCACATGGGCTTTCTCTAGTTGCACCCAGCAGGGGCTACTCTTAGCTGCGGTGCACGGGCTTCTCGTTGCGGTGGCTTCTCTTGTTGCGGAGC